CTCCCTCTCTCTGCTGGCCACCCCTTTTCTAATGCAGCCCAGGGGCTGCATGCACACACTGCTGGCTCATGTCCAGCTTCTCGTCCATCCGGACCCCCAAGTCCTTCTCCTCAGGGCGGTTCTCAAAGGGTTCTTTGCCTAGTCTGCATAAACACCTGGGATTGCCCCAACCCAAGTGCAACACCTTGCACTTGGCCTTGTTGAACCTCATTAGGTTCACACAGGCTCACTTAGTTTTGTAATGGAGTAGTTATTTTGTATTTCCTCCCACTGAGAGGGAAAGAGTCACACGAAATCCAGTCTGTGTTTAAATTATTTACCTGTAATTGGGCTTCTTTCTTTTTTTTGTCTTTAATTATTTTAATTGCATATGTCAATGATTCAAATCTTTGGTATTCATCAGAAGACAATACATTAGAGAAAGGTTTCCAAACTGGAACAGCATGAATCCAAAGCCATACAGCTACCTGTCTCTAAAGCAAAACATTCCCACCCAAGAAATCATCAGCTTTCTTCATCAGTCTTTACCAAAATCTCTTCTTAATCCAGTCTTCAGAATGACCAGTCGGTGGAAACTACAATAACTGCAATGGTGTACACAAAATAGCAGCTGGTGTTTAGGGCAAGTCATAATGAAGCTAATGGCAGAATTCCCACTGATCTCAATGACACCTGAGGTAGAAATGTGACAGCTGCATATAAACAAGGGCAGACTGGTAACAGCCTTTCAGCTCATTGTATTTCCTCAGAAACACACAGGGACTTTCATACATCCTTTGTCCACTCCTCCAGGTCCTCAAAGGAGATTTACAATTACCTTGAGACTAATGCTGAGCAGTACAGATGAAACTGATTTTTGGTAGTTTTCTGTGTAAGAAAAATAAAAAATGAATGTTGTCTCAGTCCTCAGATGGACTTTCTAGACTACTAAAATTCTAAAAATACTAAGCGGGCAAAAAATCTGTATGATTTGAAATGTTTTGCGATGCAGTTTGAAAATAAAAACATTTTGTTCATTGAATTAAACATCAAAAAAGTAATTTCAATTTTAAAACCTTGTAAAGGAGTTAATTTGTTTTTTGTTTTGTTTTGTTTTTTTAATAAAAGGTATTTCATTTTTTACACAAGCAAGCTGGAACTTACAAAAGTTGTATAAACTTCTTCTCCACAAGGATATTTCTCATGTGTTGAAATTTTGACCTTCAGATGGCATGAGGCTTACAGGATGGGTCACAGGATGCTTTTGGACTCCTTCCTAAAAACAAGTGCCTTGAGGCATGTAAAAATATGTCAAGACAGAAGAGAATTGGGTTCAGTACCTGTAGCTGACGAGCTGCTCCTGTTGTCATGTGGCTACTGTACAATCTGTACACGTGGCTGAGGGAAAGGGAGTACAGAACTCCTGGGACAAAACAGAGACTGGAAATGGACTTCCTTCAACCACGTTTGTTAAATGCTTACTCCTCTATTGCACTTGCATAGAGGGATGAGAATTTCCTCCTTGTCCTTTGATTTCTCTGTTAGCAAACTAGTTTAGCAGTGCTATATTCAGACACACTACTCTGTAGGGTTACCTAATCATGCCTACAAAACATCCATTTCATCTTCTCATTTTCCTACTATATCTTTGTCTTTATAGCTCATACCACAGGTGTTCATTCAGCAGGAAGAACAAGGTCAGGATCTTCTCGTTCACTTGGACGAGAGTATCAAAAATCTACCCTGTTTTTTCTTGATTTACTTCATGAAGAAAGCTCTCACACCAGTTCTGCTTTGCTTCAGTCGCTATTTGAGGCCATGGTATAGCCTACATCAGATATGCCTCTAGGTTGTTTTGGCTCGCTGAGATCTTTTTTTTTTTTGACACTCTGAGAATTACTGATGAGTTTTCATACCCCTGCAGCCATGCAACCTGTCTCCTTGGCAGCTAAAAACAACACTGCACTGGTTGGACTGCTCTCCAGCATGGTTCACGTATTCTTTTCTTGGCACATAATTTCCAGCAGGTGTAATCATGCTCTATAAGAGGCCCATGGTAGCAACCCGTACTACAGTAATTGCTTAAAGGAGCTGCTCTTTTAGAAGAAATGGTGCCTGCATTGTCATGCTGGCTGCTGATCATTGCCTGGCACCTCTGCCCCCAAGGCAGGAGTCCAAACAACTTGTGAGAAGGCACTTTGCCATTGCAGCAGATGGACATGAGCATAAGCGGCTTAGGGATTACGCCTGCACATCAAGCATAGGCACTGAGGGCATGATTCCTAGCCAAGAATACTGCAACTGCTGTTTATCTTCTGCTTATGAACCAAGAGTTGTTTATATTCTGCTTACCAACCAAGAGTTCAGGGAATGTGTCATTGCTAATTAAGACCTGGGCTGGCCTCATATTCTAGAGCATAAAACATGACTGTGCAAAACAAGTGTCTGACTGGCTTGAGTCAGGCAGTAAGTCCTAGCAGGGAACAAGGGAGTCATCAGGACAAAATCTGCACTGGAGCTGACCAAAATGGTCTTTGCTGGAAGCAATACCCCCAGAACACCGCTATATCATCAGATTCAGGAAAAAGAATAAAGCAAGAGTGAACAGCAATATGAATGCTAATATGTAGGTGTACTTATTTTTGCTCAAATGAAAAAGTAAAACCTTGGTACACACAGGTATGTAGTTGAAATGGGTAAAAATGTAGACCCAGTTTAAGAAAAAAAATCCTGACTGCAAATTGCACGAATGCATGGAAAAATCTCTGGAAGGAAGGTCAAAAGCATTTTTGTTTATCAATTGTAATACTTGAAAGAAGAAAAAACCCTCTAAGTAGACTAAATTGCATTCACTAGTAGAAAACCCAAACAATCTGAAGGAACTTTTCCTCCCTCTGTTCCATGAGTCAGATAAGATATTGACTGAGGTGCAGCGGGACTACAAGTCTTAGAATGTTTCTGAAAAACTGATCTAGAATTAAGTGCTTCGGAGGCTGTGTCCTTGTAAACAGAAGATGTAAAGCTGAAGATCAGACAGTGTATTATCTGGGACCTGCTTCTGCCAGTGGGAGCCAACCACAACAGCAGATCAAGGGCATGCAGAAAATACTGGAAACATTAAAATTGGATTTTGATCTTGTTGTTATCTGAGAAGCCAGGTATTCATTTAATATCACAAAACCTTGGAGGCCCCTTTACCTTTGTAGCACTAGAAATAGTTAAAAAGAGGGTAAGGAAGGAGGTCAAGTACTTGCTTTTCTGATGAAAATGGAAATTATAGACAGATGGAAAAAAGCAAATGAATGAAAACCACAAATCCAAAACTCAGTATTTCACTGCATGATGCTTTAGTGAATACTTGGAACACAGCACCCTAGTAGAGAAAAAGTTGCCAGAGAAGTGAAAACCCAGGCAGCAAAACTGAAGAATGAGCACAGCTCACATAAGCTCCCCTGTAGGTTTCTCTTTCTGATAATGGAGGTCACTGAAGGAAGCGCACTGAGAAAGGAAGCCAGACATTTCTGAGTATTCGCATACAATACAGGAAGCATTCAACTTGCAGAAACTTTGATGTCTGAATGCAAAGAGTTGGAAAACAGCTTGAAGTAATAAAATATGTTGTATCTCTAGAGAAGGATGTTGAAATATGCTGCTTGTTCACCAGCTCTATTGAAGAAGACAGAGAGTATTCCCTTGTCTTCCCTAAAAAGTCTTTCCACAGTTCTGAGTTTTCGAAACCATTGTATTCCTCACAGCTACTTTCCTTATCGCTATATTTGTATCTACATCAACATCTGATTTTATATTTAATATATTGAATTTATATATCTCTGTGACCTACAGACATAAGAAAAATGGATCAGAAAATATTTTTGATAGTTAGAAACACCGTTAGATAGAAATGTTGCAAAGCCATCACATCCTCGAGTTGTTTCAAGTGATAACGTACATATTTTAAAATACAAAGTAGATTAGGAGTCATTTGTAGTTTTGCCCTTCACTGCTACTGTGCACTTCCTCCTACCATGAATGTTGAAAGTCTAACTCAAAGACGTGAAGCTTGAATTTGCTCAGTGAAATAAATTCTTATGCAGCACTCTTCAAGTCACTTACTTTTCATCTGAATACACTAGTCCAAGTGGTGTACAGGATAACTCATCTTCTCACACTGCTCTGCAGTGCAGTCAGGACCACTCCACACATCAGTGAGGCCCATTAAATGGATATTCCCTGCTTATTTATAGAACATAGGTCAGCTCACAGGTTGAAGATGATGCATTGTCCTTGTCCTCTCCACTAGCTGGCAGAATATCTAACACGTGCAGGGTTGGATTTGCAAAGATGTTGAGAAAGATCACAAAGCACAAGATGGTGAAGTGACGGCATTTTGTAAGGAATTTTCTGGAGGAGGGCAGCATTTGAAGAGCACCGGGTAAAACAAGAACCTCAAGCAAGTAGCCAGTAATTTAACAGCAACCAACAGTACGTGGCACACAGACAATGAAATGCATATACCAAAGCAGTACTTATTTCTGTTTTATCTTTAGCTTCTCCCTCTCCACCCACCACACACCACCCTCTACAGTATCAAAGTCAAAGGCAGCAAGGAGACGAAGCACCTGAAAATCAGGCATCCTCAGTCATACCAACTCTCTGAAAGGTCTCCAGACATTTGCATAACATACCACAACTGTACAAGCTGTGCACAAGGAGGGAGAGCAACCAAAGAAGGTTAAAACACATACTAAGGCTAGACACTAGCATTCTGGCTTTTCTCAAGGTTATTTGGTCCTTTTTCTAGCCTCCAGCTTTTGCTTTCTTGAAAAAAGGTTCTTGCATCTACCCTCTCACAAATTCATGTATTTACTGTCTGACTCTAGCTCTAGTTATTCATCTCAAGCTCCAGCAAAGCAGATGTTGCACACCGACTCTCATCTGGCACTCTCATTGCCTACCTGGAAACTGAGAGATCTAAACTCCTGCACTAGGGAAGGTTTGTGTGTCCCCTCCCCACTGCTCACCTCAGGACTTGTGTCCCAGTTCATAGAGATTTGTTGGAAGCATGTCTTCTTCTTGTGTGTATGTAAACCTGTTTTCTCATAGTCCTCATGTAGCTGCTGCCACAAGGAGAGAGAATGCTGGAAGAAAAGAAGAAAAAAAAAAGGTAATCATATGGACTTTCCTTGGGCCTTATAACACTCCTGATATATATTTCAAGAATTTATTCTGTCCTATGGAGGAAGGTGGGGGAGGAGATGCTATTTGAAAGCAGCAGTTATAGGAAACACTAAGCATGAGGATGTTTGAAATGTGACCCTAACCTACTCTGTGCTTCACATTTTGCAGGAAAATGCTTTTATCTACTGCAGATTCACAGATTTTAGCCCTTTCCTGAAAGAAAGTGCCTGTGACCCATCTCTGAAATAGCTAAGCAGGTACTACTCTTTTTCTTTTTAAAACACAGTTGAAAGGGGAGATGATGAAACGGCACTGAATAAAATATGAATTCTTGGAGCAGAACTCCACCTATCCATCTATCATGTCCTGCCCTACTCCTATTATCTTACTGGCCTAGTCAATCTTGAGTTCTTTTCAATATAACAATCCAGATTCGCCAGAGTGCCTGGAGAACACTGCCCACACATACATGCAATTAGCCACCAGAACCAGGCAAGAAAATGGGACATGTGGGTCTGAACTCTGTAAGGCAGGAAAGGAAGATGCATCTAATTCTTCTGCAATTACAGGCTACTACACACAAGGGAAATGGTAGGGTGAGGGGATCTTCCTTCCAAAAGAAAATTACATCTTCCACTGTGTTTTGTGGTTTCTTCCATCTTGCAAGTCATTTAACTCTTTTGAGACTTAATCACAGGATTATCTAATCGCTGGGTCTTGAATGTGAAGCCCATCAAATTCAGGTTCTGAATTGTTACTTGAGCTTGGTGAGCTTGGCAGAGTAATGTAAACTCTAGCAGAAGAGGGAAAAGAAACATATTGAAGTATTATCAGTTGCAGCTGAACTCTGAAAGCAAACAGCAGTCAAAAGGCCCAGCGTTCAGATCCTGACACAGAGAAGGAAAAGGCAGAATTGAAAAAGGGAAAACATAATAAAAATGTCATGAGCACAAGACTCTTACAGGTCTCCTGTTAAGTAAGTGTGGTCCAGCAAAGCAAGGATAATCTGAAATACTGGTTCACTAGATAATATCTTAAGTAAATTCTTGCTTCAGAATTCTAAAGGGAACAATTGTCATCAGGCACTGTCACCCACTGTAGATAGTTATGAAGGATCCTAATAGAGAAAGAGGATATTACACTTTTCATTTAATAATATCTATCCGCTGTTTCATGGTCTAGATAAGAACTTCCCATGATAAATGTATTTAATTGAAAAGGAAGGACTGCTCCTTGCTACAGATTATTTTTGGCTGACTTTTTTCCTCTTGTCTTTTTTTTTTTTTTTTTTCTTTCTATTTACTCCATATGGTCTGGAAGCATTTGCTACTGGAGAGGAAAAATATGTTCTCTACTGAACCAAAACAACAGTTCATGTAATTTTATGTCCTATCATTGGTAGCAGTTAGTATGAGTTACTTCAAACGGAACAGAATTTCTTGCACCTTTTCCATTTAAAAATTTGGAATACTAGCCTCGATAAGAAAATTTTGGCTTAAGCTCAATCTGAGTGTGCCCTGAAACATCGTTATTTATAGTCATTTAAATATTGTATCACATTAGTATTAATTAGTTCTAATTTTAGTTATTGTGGTTTGGTAATACCGGGACATCTTCAACTCACTGGTGGGCAGTAATTTACTCTAGTATTACTTCACCAAGCATGAGTTTAACTGCTTGAGAAGCAGACTGCTTTCCATTTGTTACTAAGAAACTTTGTCCACAGAATACAGGAAAAAATCTATCAAAGAGTTCTTCAATGAAAGAGCTAGAGAACTTTTCTCACCAATTTTTCAAGCAGTGCATTTCGGTTCATGGTCTTGTCTAATTCTCCAAAAACCACTAACTACAGTCTGCATTTGAACAACAAGCTATTAGCTTACTGTTTAACAGCTCTCTGTCCTTTTAGTTTAAATTCCCAAAGTCAGATGCAGATCCCTCACATTGCCTCCTTTCCTCTGGACTGTTCTGTTCAGGTAAGTTTCCCCCCCCCACACACACACACCCCTTCCACCTCTGTTATGCTTTCTAAAGCAGAATTTAAGTGTGGAGTTGTAACAAACACAGGAGGTCTTCAAACTGATTCACCCAACACAGACAGTCACGCAAATGTTTTACACATGCCAATCAACACCAGTGTTTTTGAGAAGAGATTTCTCCACACACTTTCATTCTTCTGGAACTGTGAGAAAAACAAGAAAAAAAATCAGTGGCAGCAATTAGGTATTTTGTCAAACACTTTTTGATGAGATGAGTAGCTGGAAGGATATTTGACTTGTTTTGCATTAGTGCTCTCCAGAAGAAACAGCTCATTGGCTTAGATTGTATGTTTCACAGAATCACAGAATCACCCGGGTTGGAAGGGACCTCAAGGATCATGTAGTTCCAACCCCCCTGCCTAGCAGGGCCACCAAACATACACATTCAGATCAGGTTGCCCAGGACCCCGTCCAACCTGGCCTTAAACACGTCCAAGGACGGGGCATCCACAACCTCCCTGGGCAGCCCATTCCAGGGCCTAACCACTCTCCTAGTAAAGAACTTCCCCCTAACATCCAACCTAAACCTTTCAGCAGCAGAAAGCGCGGAAAGAAATGTCACGAGGCTGTGCTGGGTTATATGCAAGGTTTCCTAGCGTTATTAACTTAATTTTTTATTTTGTCCCCCTTTTAGTGCAGTATGCTTCAGTAAACTTTGTATCTGATTTTCACAAGTATTTTGGAAATTACAAATACCTCTTTTCTGAAGCACTATGAAAATTCATCATCACAAGATCTACAAAGAGATACTGCAAAAAACAACAAACAACACCCTTCATTAAAAATGCATTAGGTGCTAAATGAATCTACAAAACTACACTCACAGACCCATACAGTGCCTGTATGGGGAATAAAATGTATAAAGTTTGCAGCTATAATCTGTTATTGAAATAGAACATTGATGTAATAGGAAGTATCTGCTTGCATCAGCAAGACTACCATCATAAACTTTACAGAGTAATCTGCTGCTGTTAATAGTATTTCACAGGAATCACCATAGACAGCACAGAAAACACATCCACTAGAGGAATACATAGCGATATCCAATGGATACTCCTTTCTCTTAAGTAAATATAAGAGAGATCAATAATTAGAGAGATCAATATTTCAGAAAGTTCAACTCTTAAATTCGATTCCGGATCTCAGAAGCTCAAAATACGAGGATAGGGTACAAATCTAATTCAGATTTCTCATTTTATCTACAAAAAAAGAAAAATCTACCCTGTGAATTCAACACCGGAACCTAGTACTAAGCATATAAATGTATGGGAAAAGTTGAGTCGCGGCCTGAACCACTGATTGAGCACCTTGGTCAGCCCTGGGAGCATAGGTGAAGGAATTCACCTGCACAACCAGAAGGGGTGGAACCTGGCTCCAATTCTCTGAGACATCATTTAAGGGCTGACTGCCACTGCGGGAGGATCTCTTCCTGCAGATCTCTTCTTGGCGAAGCTTTTCCCTATGAACCTAGAATCTTCTGACATGGGTGAGCAGTTTTCTTCCCTTCCTTTATAACATCTCTATCTATTCTGTCAGTCCTTCCCTCATCATACCTCTGTTGTAACTCCTTTCCCATTATATTGATCTAATTGCTACAATAAGGAAGGAGGAAAAATTCTCAGACATATCCCATTATGTTAGTGGTTTGCAACTGAAATTGCAATGGATGTGTACATTCAACAGGAATTTCTAAACCAAATCCTTAAACCAGTGTAATTCTGTTACAGCCCAGATCACAACAACAAAATGAATCACCAGTGAGTAAAAACAACCACGGGAAGGAAGAACAACTTGCTTAAACTCATTTCACTGAATAAACAAAATCCCAAGGTCCAATAACTTTAGCCGTAGTGGCCCTTCAAGTGGCATTTACAGAGAAATTTCTTAAACAATGTGTGATTTGTAGTTTCTTGGTTTCCAAAATAATAAGATTCTTTATCTTGGTGTTTTTATTTTTTTTTTTAATCACTGCAACATTCAGGTGGAAAAATATGTGATGTCTAATGGTCAGGCTCCATTTACACTTCATAGCAGTGTGCAGTGGACCTTTCTGACCATCTTGAGGCTGGAAAACGTTTCTATATTACTATTTCCATATCTCGAGTTCTTCATGCTTAAAAACTGCTGATTCATAACAGATATTCCTCTTCCTTTCTCACTAAAAGTTACTTTCTGAGCATGTTCAACTCCATGAAAGAGGCAAGAGGATCCATCCATAAAGTCATGAAAAGATTTATTTTGATATGTGAAAATCTGGATTAAAAAAGAGTTTCACAGCAATACAAAACATGGGTTAACATGGGCTTAACGCACCCACCAGTAGGTGAGTATTGCACTGCAAACTGCAGAGCGATTGGTTCTCAGTGTTTCCTTGTGAAGCTTTCCTTTAGCACAGAAAAATATTCTTCATTTGTTTGAGAGAGACTCTTGGGATTTATATAGCATAAAGACAAAGTGAACTGAAGTCTATGACAAAATTAGTATTTGTTTCTTCAACGTAGAGCAGTTTCACTAGGGAAGTTCACACAGGGACAGCTGTGACAGACAGAGTGCTTCTCAGAGGCACTGAAAAAGGACTTGAACCTGGTTCATTCACTTTGCCTGCCCTTCTGCGTCACGTAGCTGCTTTGAGATTTCTGCATGCATTAAGAAACCTCATTTTTAGGTGAATGTTAGATCCAAGAATCAGTGACAGAATTCATAAACTTGTCTCAGAACTATGAATTCCTCTAGCTTTCTGGAAAAGAAAAATTAATACTGAGACATGTAATTCCTACAACAGGAATTCACTTTGAGAACCTACCCTCAATGTCTCAGTTATGTGCTGCTTGAAGACAGGTCAGGTTATTCTACAGAACAGGACATCATCATAGTAACAATAATGTTTTTGTCCACAGAAATCGCCGTTGCTAGAGAAAGGAAGAAAACTAATCTCTAATTGCGGGTTGACAGAACCAAGCTGTTTTCACTGCTCAGTATAATTGGAAACAGCACTACCAAAGTGATCCCAATTCTAAAAAAAATGACTTATTATTTCCTTTTTCTGACTTTGAAAACACTGAAAAGCCTTCATCTTATTAATAGGGCGTAGCTTTCCAGAAGCACAGAGTACACATTTGTCTGGAGTATTTCTAGATTAGATTTCAGGACGGTCCTAAATCTGTATGAGGAAATAAGTAGGCAAGCAACTACAGTATGATCGCATGGAATGCTCCGGAGTAATTAGCAGATTAAAAAAGAAATTAGCAAATGTTTCAGAAGGCTAAAATCCAATCTAATCAAACACAATTCAACTGAACTTCCTGGCAGAGAAGACAGTGCAGGTGGCCCACTCAGAAGACTTACCGAGGATTTTTTTTTTAGGATTTTCAGAAATATGGAAGTAGAGGTCTGACTCGGTGCTTTCTCAGACTCCTCCTGGAGTTGCTCTTGGGGACTCTGCCTTTCAGTTTTGCTTTTTTCCTCTCATTTTACAGTGCCTTAATTTCTCAAGAACGCTTTCCATCAGCTAAGTGTTACAGAAAGCGTTTAACCAGCATGCTTAGTTTTTGGAGCACGTGCCGACTTTGCAATGATTGTCCCTTCTCTTTGTTTCCGTAGATGAGATTAGGATTTTTCTATCCATCTGCGCCGAGTCTGTGGACAACTTGTTACTGTGAAAGGTTTTGCCCTTCACGCACCCCGAGCCTCTCAGAAAGGGCGCCAGCCTTCCCGCCTTGAGGCAGCGCCCGCCGCGTGCTGCCAGCGCCCCCTGCCGGCATGCTCGTGCTGCGCAACGGAAAGCAGCGCGCCGAGGCCCGAGACCCGCTCGCAGCTTTTGGGAATATCCCTCAAACGGATATCTTCTACTTAAAAAAATAACACGGTGAAATTGAGATTTAAAGGCTTGAGTTCTCTCAAGACTGCTCTCACTTATATAAAGAACATAAAAAACGTTTAATGTCAGCACTTGCAGTACAGCAGGAGAAAAAAAAACAAAACAAAACTTGTCTAATGCCCAAAAATGACATCTGTGAGGGGAAAAAAACACCAACAAAACTGTGCTATAATGGATGAAAAGAACATCTAGTACAATTTATCTTTACAAATGCCCTTAATAGACTACATTTGCAACATAAAACTGCTTTTCTACCCAGACAATAACGATTTCTTTATTATTCATATTACTGCTTAACTACCTTCGTGCAGCTAGTAAATCATACTCGAGCTATGCTAAACAGATGGATGCCTTTCTGCTGCCCATTATGGAACGCATAGGTTAGCCATCACAGAAAGTCTTATCAACGCGTTTCTCCCTCTCATGTAACCTCCATCTAAGAGCATTACTAAAATCAGTAGCTGAGATTTAAAAGGTTCCTAAGGAAATCTGATCACCGCAACACTGTTTTGTCACACAGCCAATGTCACATAGCCCTTTCCACAGATCAGATACTGGTGCTGCACGCTGAGAATAGCAGTCTGAATTCAAGCAGCAGCCATCTTCCCAGAACAGCATCTGAAATTTCACTTGAGGCACATAGTAGAGTCAACTAAATTAACGTTTTCACCATTATTGACATTACAAGATTTATTACTCCCTGTTCAATTTAAAAAGATTCCCTGGGGAAATTTTTAAGGGGTGCTTGCTTTATTGGTTGTTATTGAGTTGGACCATTTGACAGCTGGTGTGGAATGTCTGAATAACAAAATCCTTGCTCAGAAGAAATCAAGAGACCTCTGGTGACTGATATGGAGGATATTGATTTGATTTTAGTGTGATGCATTTAGTTTTCATTGTTAAAATAATATAACAACAGATTAATTTATAGAATGAATAGTAACCACATGAAGCGTATACACAGAGGAGCCTGTCTAGGACTGCTGCTAAAGCTTCTTGTCTCATAGAGCTCAGCTCTTGATCCCCAGTAAGCAATACATTTCGGTAAGATTGCTATGTAGAGTTGGATTATTATGGGAAGGATCAGGGCTGAACCCTAAAACTTCTAAGTTTGATATTGCTAGAATCACTCCAGTAATGCATTACTGTGGATGTTAGGCGAGGAGAGAATGAAAGACAGGAAAGGAAGATTTCTGTCATCTTAGAGCTCAGGAATTATTTTCTTCCAGCAAAAAGTATTAAGAAATCACAAAACATGCTTGTATAATAAGACTATTGAAACAATACAAATACAGGTGAATTAAAGTTGTGCAATTTTAATACCAAGTATTCTCGGTATTAAAATATAAAACATTTAGCAAGGCACAAAACACTGATAAAAATGGAAATATTTTCTGAGTGATTATGGAGAAAACAGAGAAGATCTAGTAAAGTGGAGAAAGGAGAGACCAAGAGTGCAATTAATTCATCAAGATGTACAAATAGAAACATATATGAAGACATTTGCTTCTTCTACCTTGCTGATGAAGAGAACTTTCAGAAAAGCACAAGTGCATCAAGTTTACCTGCTACCAGCATTGTTTACTAGTTGCCATCATCAGTAAGTCCTTCATTTTAGATTTAGCCATTACAGCCATAAATTTTACCACTGCTATCAAAATGGCTCTCAATCTCCAAAGAAAGGATTGGTGAATATTTTACACCAAGAATCAACAGATAGAGGAGGGATGTAATGTACTCAGAGATATTTGAAATCAACTCCACAGAAGCTTAAACTAAAAGTTGAACATTTTTTTGAAGGGACTTGAAATATATCCTTAAAAATGCTCTAGAATGTCTGGGCTGTTTCAATTAAAGGTGAACTCTCTGCTGGATGGGCAGAATACTGATTCTAGGTGAAGAACAGGACTAAGAGACCCTTTTCCAATGGTTTCAAGCTAGGCAAAAATTCCTCAGCCTCACATTTGTTCTCCTCCCCGACTTTGCCTATGGCAAACGTATAGTTGTGGCAACCTGGTTGATCATCTCTACAGCCCTAAGCTGCAACCACGGAATCTGAAAAATTACCCTGTAAACAAAGGAGTTTATTCATTCTGTGAGTATTCTAGGGCATATCTGCTCTGAATTTTCTACTCTTGGTGTTCATTTGAGGCTTCATATGAATTGATCATTAACTCAACATCTGTGCTGCATACTAGCTTTTGGCAAAAAAAAAAAAAAAAGTGTTCAAGGCAAGTATTTAGATTCTACAAAACAAAGACAGGAATCTGCTTCTCTAAGCACACAAAGGTTACTCAGCAGGAATAGTTTTGCTCCCACTGTTTTTCTACTATTGTTTACTTTGTTGTGTGCAGCTGCTGTAATTATATTTAAACCTCTCTGTGTTATGTATGCTAATGTAATTTTCTGTACTGTGTTTGAGTCATCCATAATTCACTTATGCTTTTCTAAGAGAAAGTTTTGTGCCAGCTTATCGGGCTGAAACATGAAGTCGGTTTCCCCGTATGACAGATGAATACCCAGCCCAGTAGATTACAGTAAGTTCCCTTATCCTTGACTCTGTCACCAACAAGTCTAGAAAGTGAAGTCATTTTAAGATCAAGAGATTCCCTGAGTAGGAGATATTCATAAGCAACAACTCTACCTCACCATTTCTGGTTATCTGGCATTTGTCCTTTCTCAGGCTAATATCTTGATACTGGCCAACAGTAAGAGATTCTTTGCACTTTTGTCTCAAAGCTTGCGGAGGAACAGAGATAGGCAAGTCCAGGTGAAAGCTGGACAAATCTGTAAATTTTTTTCTAAAAGCCTCACCTTCAAATGATTAACATTTGTTGGTGAAAATCAATGTTAGATTGAATAGATATGGCTGTTATATCATGTCTGTGATCAAACAAAGCCAGTGAGTGACCACGAATCTCTAAATTCTAAAACAGACAGAAAAAAATATTGCTTTGTGTTACCTAAGTGAGAGCTTTGCATACCTTCATAACAAAACTGGTGGGTCTGTCAGCAGAGGTACTCCATGGGTGCTGCAGTGCTATTCCTGCCATTACACACTGTCGTATCACCATGAAAGAAAGAGACAAAGCAAGAATACTTCTTGAAAAACCATTTAACAATAAAGCAAAAGAAGAACACGCTCCTTCACATTAAACCAAATCAAAATACCATGTACAAGATCCTAGCCGCAGATGACTAAAGGCAGCAAATTGAATGATCATATTATGACAGATTACATCCTTGGATACCGTGCAGCAAGAAGTATCCTGAAACCAAGGAGCAGCACGTAAGATCAGCCTCACTGAGAAAAATGATTTATTGCAAGCGAAGAAGGAAAACATTAAACTGAATAGCTTTTCTGGGGACAGCATTCTTCTCTGTGCTTTTTAAACCTGCAGAAAAGCCCCTGGGAATTTAAGATGCTAATTTGAAAGAAATGAAAATTATTCCTAACGTACCATTACAAACATTTATAACAAACAGTTCCATTCACTCTGCTTCTAACACCTGAAGACCTTTGCCGTTCTGTTTGTTTTCTGGTTGATTGTCCTCATCTAAGAAAGAGATAAAAATGAATGCTTCTGATGGGCTTACTTTGCTTTTTCAATTATATTATTACCGCAACAAAAGTCTTGAGCCAGTAAGTTTAATGCAAACTCTGTCTAATGATAGACAAACTAAGCATTTAAGGATTAGGTCCATAGAATTACATCATCAATAAGTTCAAACATGAACATTTACTCACTGTAAATAGGATTAACACTTCCAAAGTAACTGTGCTGGGTGGGAACAAAATGTCAGGAGCAGCTGATATTAGTTCAGTGCTGAAGCTGTTTGTATTTTCATATGTAAAATATCAGATACTCACAAAGAGACAAGGGCGTATCAGAGGTGACATTAACTGCTTGGTTGCTGCTCCACAGGGATAATGCCAAACACCAGAAGGTGAGAGCATCTAAGCCTTGAAACAAAAATCTCTTTCAGAGAGCAGGAAACCTAGTTTGCTAGGCAAGAATGGGGACAATATGTGGAAAATGTGCAGGAAAAGCAAAAGGCCAACCATGGAAGCAGCAGAAATCCTATGTTGCTCCTATATCCTTGTTTCCTCCTTAAGGGAAAACACTGCAAGTCTGAGATGTTCTGAACTGGTTGGCAAGAGAATGATGAACGAGCCTAAGTATATGAGGATAGCCTGATTAAATAAGGAATGAAAGAATGAGGAGTATCAGAAGCAGGTGGAAAGGAAAGGGATCCAGATGTGGGTAAGAGGAGACAGGTAGTACCTGAGGGATGGGAAGAGAGAACAGAGGTAGGGAATAAAAGACTCTGAGAAGCTTGGTTACCAGCCAGAGGAATCTTTATAAATAAAATAAAATAAAATAAAATAAAAAATAACAAACAGGAACAACACAAACCACCCAACTTTCACTGACAAAACAAACAAACAAACAAAAACCTGTACAAGTGATGCAGCAGTAAATCTTCAAGATTTATGGCTCAAATTACACATAATTTTCACTCTGTGTAGATGTAACATAAAAAGAAGAAGAAAATGAGAGCTGCAAAGGGTGAAAGAAAGGGGGGGTGGGGAGGATCTTGTTTTTTGGGGGGATTATGTTTTCTATATACAAAGGAAAACATTTTCATTCCGAACAATTGAGAAAAAATGAATAACAAATGCTCATTAACAAGAATACCTCGGTATAACCCTTATATATATGGTATCTGGAGAACATAGGAGACTAAATGCAATGGAGACTCTTCTCTGTATTATATATACGTG